AAAAAAAAAAAATGTAAATTGCAATCACCTGATCAGAGGTGCTGCAAAAGGCCATAAATGCAGGTTGGTTGCCAAGCACCCAGAATGCAATCACATGCCTAAGGAAAGGGCCCAGCCATTGGAACTTTGAATCCAGGTCATCTGTACTTTATTTGGGTCCGTTGTAACTTTGAATCATTGTTAAGTGACCAGGTGTAGGTGGAGGTCTCCCTATACCAGAGGTCTCCAAACTTAACAACTTTAAGTCTTGTGGGCTTTCAAACTCTGGGAGTTGAAGTCCACAAGTCTTAAAGTTGCCAAGTTTGGGGATCCCCGCCCTATATTCACAGAGAATAGGCTGGACATTAAGAGTATGCAATATGTGCATGTCAAAAAACAGGCCTGAACACTGGCTTGTCTACATTCACACAACATACTGAGCCTGTGTATCAAAGTAAGTCATCTTTTATATGCACAATAAATCAGGCTTGTTCTCCCAGCCTACTAAACCACAAATATTAACCATGCTTTATTCAGAACAGAATAGAGTAACAGTTGGAAGGGACCTTGAAGGTCTTCTAGTCCAACCCCCTGCTTGGGCAGAAAACCCTATGCCATTTCAGACAGACAAATTATGTTGACCTCCGTCTTTAACCAATCGGGTTAAACATGTTGGATAAAACATTGATAGACAAATGAAACTGCCAAAAATAAAAACAAACTCCTATTGAATCAATGCCCATGGATGTCTTACTTGTCATAAGGGCCATTTTGGTATTTCATTTGGCCACTCTGGATGAAGAAAGGAGACCTATAATAGTCCCTCAATGTTAATCTGTTTTCCTCACTCTTCACTCTTAAGTGGAATTTCCATCCTTCGATTGCTGGATTTCTGTATATGTTTCTTTAAATGCAATGCAACATCCCTTCTTGTTCTGTTCATTTTCAATACATTATAGCCATACAAAGGTGCTGCGCCAGTCGTGAGAAGCTTCCACAACATTGAAAAAAAAAGATGTAAAAAAAAAAGATGTTGAGACTCTAGAAAAAGTTCAGAGAAGAACAAAGATGATGAGGGAACTGGAGGCTAAACCATAAGAACGGTTGCAGGAATTGGGTACGCCGTGTTTGGTGAAGATGACATGATAGCACTCTTCCAATATTTGAGGGGCTGCCACAAAGAAGAAGGAGTCAAGCTATTCCCCAAAGCCCCTGAAGGCAGGACAAGAAGCTATGGATGGAAACTAATCAAGGAGAGAAGCAACTTAGAACTAAGGAGGAATTTCCTGACAGAACAATTAATCAGAGGAACAACTTACCTCCAGAAGTTGTATAATAAGAATAATATAAGTTTTTATTTTAATGTTGGAAAATCATTTGTCTGAAGGGGTGTAGGTAGGGTTTCCTGCCTAGGCAAGGGGTTGGACTAGAAGACCTCCAAGGTCCCTTCCAACTCTGTTACTCTATTTCAGGGATCCCTGTGATATTGTCTTCCTCTTTATTTCTCTAGCTTATTTTGGGTATCCATGGATGAAGGGATCCTTAAGTGGCAGATAATTGCCCATTATTTGCTGTACTGTAGTGAATGCTTGAGACAAAAGCTTGAGGGGAAATTATGCACCATCCTGAAAGTGCAATTCAAAAGATCTTTTAGGTTATGAAGACAGAAAACCCGGGCTATTTGGAGACCCAAGAATAAAGGAGAAGGCTGCCCGATAATTATCCATTTAGGATATTTATTAAATATATAAGTTTACTCAATTCTATTGGGACTCTGGGAAACATATAATAATACCATTGCTCAAAATACTAGTGAAAACACATCCAGGGACTTCTTGTTGTTAAAGCCTCCACTTTACAGAGTTAAAAAAAAAAGTTGACCTTGAAGGAGATTTGCAAACTGTTATCAAAGGAACAAGGGAGGAAACTTATCTTAAATCCACCAAGGGCAAATACAGCCTTTGTAAGCAGCCAACACCTCCCTAACTCACCAGAGTAGAAGAAAAGGGAGGAGAGAAAGGGAGGCAGAAACAGACGTCCAAGGTTCTGTAATTATAGCCATTCTCAAAATAATAATAATTTCAGGCCTCCTTGTGGGGAGTTGATTTCCTGACCTGTTTCTAACTAGTGAGGTTGACATAGGCAGGTGGTTCTCGACTTACGACTGCAATGCCCCCCCCGGAATTTCTGTTGTTAAGCGAGACATTTGTGAAGTCAGTTTTGCCCCTATTTCACGCCCTTTCCTGCCACCGTTGTTAACTGAGTCCCTAGAGTTGATAAAAAAAGTTAGTATCCTGGTTGTGTAGCGAATCCGGCTTCCCCGTTTTGACTTAGCTTGTCAGAAGGTCGCAAAAGGGGAATCACGTGACCTGAGGACACAGCAACGGTCATAAGTATGAACCGGTTTCCAAGCGCCTGAATTTTGATCATATGACCGTAGGGAATTGTACAGAGGTCGTAACGATGGAACATGGCTGTAAGTCGCATTTTTCAGTGCTGTGGTAACTTTGAACGGTCACTAAATGTTGTAAGTCAAGGACTACCTGTAGAAAACATCTGTCACTTAGACAACCTTGAACTACGCTGGCTAAGATTGGATTTAAAGCATAGTACATAAAGTCATGTTACAACGTCTTACCAGTTAATGAATATTTCAGCTTTAACCACAACAACACAAGAACGCACAACAGATATAAACTTAATGTAAACCACTCCCAACTCGATTGCAGGAAGTACGATTTCTGCAACAGACTGATCAATATCTGGACTCACTACCTGATTCTGTTGTTACATCCTCTAACCCCCCACTCCTTTACCCTCAAACTAACCTCTATCGACCTCACCCCATTCCTAAGAGGTCTGTAAGGGACGTGCATAAGCGCGCAATCATGCCTACCATCCCTGTCCTATTGTCCCCAATTATTAGTTCCTATTTCTTGTATTTAAACTTACGTTTATTCTTATTTCTATTGTATTGTAAGCTTTTGACAAAATAAATAAAATAAAATAGCCTAGGGCTGTCAAACACAAAACCTGCGGCCCAGGTACGGCCCACGATGTGGTCGCATTCGGCTTGCAGGGCCCTCCCAGAAAATGTAATGGGCCGGCCCACGTCACTTTGGCACAGTCTACTCAATGCAAAGAGGAAATACCGGGCCAGTGTGGCTTCGGCTTGGTCTACCCAGTGTGAAGAGGAAACATGCCAGCAAGCTGGCCAAGTCCACCCAGTCAGTCATGCCCAGTAAGTGGCATCGTATTAGGAAAACCTATATAAAATGTTTTATAGGTGGCATCTTCCACCAGCAAAATTCTCTAAAATGTACCCAAACATATCACCAAACTGTTGGAAATGTACCAAAGAATATGGATCGTATTATCATGTATGGTAGAAATGTAGAAAAACTAAGGAGTTTTGGCAGAGAACTCAGAAATGGCTTGAGGAGATGCTAGGTCATAAAATAGAATTCAAACTAGAGTTTCTCCTACTTGGAATTATAATAGAAAAATACAATAACCAGGAGATATATCTAATAATACATGTGATTACAGCAGCAAGGTTAGCTTTCGCCCAAATGTGGAAAAGCAAAGAAATTCCCGATGAAAATGACGTAATAAAAAAGATATGGTCATGCGCTGAGATGGACAAATTAACTTGGGAAATGAAAGATAAGGACGAGATAGAATCCTATAAAATATGGGATAAATTTTATCAATGGTGGGAAAAAAGGAAGGATCTAAAAAGAGAGTATGGATGTCTAAAACTGGGAAATACCATTTATAGCTGTATAAATGTATAAATAACAAATAACAGATAATCAGAGTTGGAAGGGACCTTGTAGGTCATCTAGTCCAACCCACCCACCCAAGCGGGAGACCCTACAACCATATGTATTTTATGCCATAATATGTGTGACAACAAGGATTGTCGGGATGACTACACCACGTCCAATGTTTTTAATAATTTACTTAATAAAGTTTTGTAAAAATAAAAAATATGATGGACATCCACCCAGTCTGCCACGCCCACCCGGCTCCCCTCCCCCTGCCCGAAGTCAACCACAGGCCGGATGCGCCCCCTCAATGAAATTGAGTTTGACAATGATCTAGCCAATGACCTGAAGGGCGAGCCAAGATCCTAAGATCCTTTTCATACTAGGGGGACAGGCTTTGTGACAGAGAAGGCCTGTTTCCTGGATCCCGTCCGATGAGGCACAATTTATGGGAACCTCAGCATGCCAACTCTGCCTGGTCAGGCAAGGATGCTTGAGGGCAACAGAATGAACGTATGTTTAAACACATGAAGGAAAGATGTCATGTTCAAAATTTAGGAGGAGGAAAGATTCAGTAGAGTTAGTGAAAGGGGGAAGACAAAAAGGACAGGCTGTGAATACGGGATGCATGATTTTTGGGGAGGTGTCAACAGTACCTTGGAAGTCAACGAAGAAAGCTAAATGGAAAGTTTCTAGCCCAGTGGGTGGGATTTAAAATAAAAAAATGAAGATTTGGATTAAATTCCTAGGAGGGGATGCTATACAGAGTATGTTAAGTTTTGTACAAGAAAGAACGTGCCCACTGAAAGAGCTGAGTGGTTAAGGCATCAGGTTAGAAAG